TAGACTCTAGAAAGATGACTACCAAGGCAGCCAAATTTCTACAGACACTTCCTTAGGTACTCCCAGGTGTAGATTAACAGGGCCCGAGGGTATAATCGGCCTTTAATCCCATCGATTTCCCCAACACCATTTCCCTACTAATACTAATTTCCTTCAGTTCCTCCCTCTCACTGGATCCCGTGTTCCCTAACACTTTTGGGACATTACTTGTGTCCTCCCTTGTGAAAACAGAATAAATGTATTCAATTGGTATGCCATCTCTTTGTTGCCCATTATAACATACCCTGTTTCTAACAGTAAAAGACCTAGATTTGACTTCACTAATCTATTTCTCTTCACACACCTATAGAAACTTTTACAACAGTTTGCATCTTCCCCATAAGCTTACTCTCGTACTCTATTTTCCCCCATTTTAATCAATCCCTTTGACCTCTTTTGCTGCAATCTACTGCTCCCAATCCTCAGGTCTGCCTATTTCTTTTGGCCAATTTATATGCTTCTACCTTGGATCTATGCTACCCTAATTTCCCTTGTTAGCCACGGTTGCGCCACCTCTCCAGTTTTAATTTTTGTGCCAGACAGTAATGAAGAATTGTTGAAGATCCTCCTTGTACTCTTTAAATTATTGGCTTTGTCCATCATCCCTTTAAGTAATGTTCTCCAATTTACTATAGCCAATTGCACTTTGTACCATCATGGTATCCTTTATTTAGATTCAGTGCGTAATCTCTGAATCAAAGATGTCACTCTCCATCTTAATGAATAGTTCTATCATATTATGGGCATTCTTCCTCAAGGGGCCTCGCACAGCTAAATTGGTCATTATTCCGTTCTCATTACACAATACCCAGTCTAGGGTAGCCTGTACGGATTCCTCAATGTACTGATCCATCAAACCATCTTGAAACATGAGAAGAATTCCTCCTCTACACTATTATTGATTTGATTTGCTCAATCTATACTCCGATTAAAGTCGCCCCTAATTACAGCTGTACCTTTTTATTGCTAATTTCATGTTTAATGCCTTCCCCAACACCATTACAGTTTGAGGGTCTATATACGACTTCCACTATCATCTTCTGCCCCTTGGTGTTTTTAAGCTCTTCCCATACAGATTCAGAGCTAATATCTATCTTCAATATTGTGTTAATTTCCTCTTTAACCGGCAATGGTACCCAACCTTTTCATTTTTGTCTACACCTCCTAAGAACTGAACACTTCTGGATATTCAGTTGGTATCCCTAATCACCCTGTAGCCACATTTCTGTAATCTCAACTACATAATTCTTTTTACAGCTATTTGCACAACTAAGTCATCCAGTTCATTGTGAATGCTCCATACATTAAGACAGGACTTAGTACTTACGTTTTGCACTTTCTTAGACCTGTTGCATTCGTTTGCACTATGGCTCAGTTTGATTCTTGCCTTTGGAATCTCTGCCCATCACCTTTCTTATTTCACATTCTGCTTTCGACTTAACTCTGGTTTTCCTCTCTTCCGACTCCATATGTAGTTCCCACCCCCCTCCACCATTTTAGTTTAAACTCTTCCCAACTGCACATGCAAATAGTCCCCCCGGACATCAGTTTCAATCCTTACTGGGTGCAACCGATCCAGCTTGTACCTGAAGAACTTCCTGAAGAACTGTTCCCAAAATCCCAGGAACATGAAACCCTTCCCCTCGCACCATTTCTCCAGCCACACATTCCTCTGATATATTCTGTTATTCCTACTTTGACTAGCATGTGGCATTGGAAACAATCACAAGATCACTATCTTCGACATCTAACTTTTTAACTTACTTCCTAACTCCCTATATTCAGCTTTTAAAATCTCATCCCATTGATATTGATGTGTACCATGACTACTGGCTATGACTATAATGTAATAAAATTTGCTCATGATATAAAGATAGGGTTGAAGGTCAGTGAGCATGGTTGGCTAGATGTTTGGTTTGTAATCCAGACTGATGCCAACACGCGAGTTCAATTCTTGTATTGGCTGAAGTTACCATGATGAATTCTCCTTCTCAGCCTTTCCTTTCTCCTGAGGTGTGGTGATCCTCAGGTTAAACCAGTCATCTCTCTATAATGAGAGAGCAACCCTATAGTCCAGTAGGATTATGACGACCTTACCCCTGGGAGGCAATGGCCTAGTGGTTATTATCATTAGACTATTAATCCAGAAATTCAGCTAATGTTCTGGGACCCTGGGTTTGAATCCTGCCACAGCAGATGGTGGAATTTGAATTCAATAAAAAAAAAAACTCTAAGAATTTAATGATGACCATTGTGGATTGTCCTTCAGAGAAGAAAATCTGCCATCCTCAGCTGGTCGAGCCTACATTTGATTTCAGAACCACAGAAATGTGGTTGACTCTGAACTGCCCCGTGAATTGGCCTTGCAAGCCACTCCGCTGTAACAATCACTACGAAGGAAGAGCCCACAACTCGGCAAAAGAAAAGGCTAAAGCATTTGCAACGATCTTCAGCCAGAAGTGCTGAATGGATGATCCACCTTGGCCTACTTCAATGGTCCCCAGCATCACAGATCCAGACTAATGGATTGACTCCATGTGATACTAAGAAAGAGGTTCTGGATACTGCAAAGGCTATAAGGTCTGACAATATTCCGGCAATAGTATTGAAAACTTGTGCAACAGAACTTTTTGCACCCCTGACCAAGCTGTTCAGTATAACTACGACACTGACATCTACCCAGCAATGTGGAAAATTACCCTGGTATGTCCTGTACACTAAAAAGCAGGACAAACCCAACCTGGCCAATTACTGCTGCATCAGTCTGCTTGCCATCATCAGTGAAGTCATAGAAGGTGTCATCAACTGTGCTATTAAGCAGCACCTGCTTGGCAGCAACCTACCCACTGACACCCAGTTTGGGTTCTGCCAGGGCCACTCAGCTCCTGACCACATTACAGCTCTGGATCAAACATGGACAAAAGAGGTGAATTCCAGAGAAGAGTTGAGTGTGACAGCCTTTGACATCAAGGGCCCCATTTGACAGATAGCGGCATCAAGGAATCCTGCCAGAAGTGGAAGCAATGGGAATCAGTCTCTCCACTGGTTGGAGTTATACCTGGTATATAGTAAGATGTTTCTGTTTGTTGGAGGTCAGTCATCTCATTTCCAGGGCATCTGTACAAGAGATCCTCAGGGTAGTGGCCTAGGTCCAATCATCTTCAGCTACTTCTTCAATGATCTTCCCTCCATCAAAAAGTCATAAGGGGATGTTTAGCTCCATTCAGGACGACTCAGATACTGAAGCAGTCCATAGCCAAATGCAGCAAGAGCCAGAAAATATCTAGGGTTGGACTGAAAAGCAGCAAGTAACATTTATGTCACACAAATACCAGGCAATGATCGTCTCCAGTTAGAAACAATGTAATTATCACTTCTTAATGTGAGCAGGCAAAGGTTTAGCATAATGTAGGAAAACATGCTGTGCAGAATGCTATGGAAAAAAAAAAGAGATCTGTGTGTCTTTGTACATTAACACACAGAATGTTGGTCTTTATTGCAAGGAGGATGGAGTATAAAAGTAAGGAAGTCTTGCTTGTACAATATAGGTCAACAGTGAGACTAAGCCTGGAGTACTGTGTGCTGCTTTGGGTCATCTTAAAGTGGGACATACTTGCACTAAAGGCAATTCAGAAAAGATTCACCCCACTGATGCTTGGAGAGAAGTGTTTCTTACGAGGAAACTTGATAAGTGAGCCTATGCTCACTGCAGTTCAATAAACAAAAGGTGATCTTATTAAAACACAAGATTCTGTGGGGACTTGACAGGATAGATGCTCAGGGGATATGAATACAAAACTGCTTAGGTCTTAACTGACTTTTTTTTTCCAATTCTGGACACTGATAGAAAGAATGTATCAGCATTGCAAAGGGTGCAAAAACAATTTATGGAAATGGTTCCACAGACGAGAGAAGTTTGGGTTGCTCTTCCTAGAGAGATGATTGAGAGGAAATTTAATAGAGGTGAACAAATTCATGAGTATCAATTACAGAAAAGTATTGGAATCGAGAAGGAAGTAATAGCAGAACATTTGAAAAATCATAACCTAATCAAGCAGAATCATCATGGCTTCATGAAAGGGAAGTGGTATCTGACTAGTTTGAGAATTTTTTGAGAAAGTCTCAACCAAAAAGAGGATAGTGAGAACCAGCAGCTATGTTGTATGTCTGCTATTACTTCTTTAATAATTGACTGCAGCACTTTTCCAACAATAGATATTAGACTAATTGGCCAACAGTTAATCACTTTTTGCCTCCCTCCCTTTTTCAATATGGTGTCATATTGGCAGTTTTCCAATCTTCCTGAAATACTCTGGAATCGAAGGATTTTTGGAAAATTACAACGAAATGCATCCACTATCTCTGGAGCAACTTCTTTTAGGATCCTAGGATGCAGGCCATCATGGCCAGGGGTCTTATCTGTCTTTAGTCCCATCAGTTTGTCTAATACTATTCTCTAGTGATATTGAAAGTACTTAATTCAACAACCCCTCCCTCTTATTCTTTAGGATAAATGGGATGTTCTAAGTATCTTCCATCATAAAGACTAATGCAAAATATCTGTTTAACTCCTCTGCCATTTTCTTGTTCCCCATGATTTATTTTCTAAAGGGCCTATTCAGTTTGACCTCTCTCTTCCTTTTAATATATTTAAAGAAGCTCTTATCAGTTTATATTCCTCACCAGTTTGCACTCATTGTTTATTTCTCTCTCTATTATGTTTTTAGTCCTCCGTTGTTGGATTCTGAATTTGTCCCAGTGTTCATGGTTATCACCAACTAGCAGTGAAGCGTTTTTCAATGTCTTGATAACACTAAAGAGGTCATAAAACAAATAGAAATTACATCCCTGGGACCTGATCAGATGTACCCTAGAATTCTGTGGGAAGCTAGGGATGTGATTGCTGGGCCCATTGTTGAAATACTTGTATCATTGATAGCTACAGGTGAGGTGCCAGAAGACTGGAGGTTGGCTAATGTGCCACGATTTAAGAAAGGTGGTAAGGAAAAACCAGGGATCTATAGACCGGTAAGACTGACGTCGGTCATCGGCAAGCTGTTGGAGGGAATCCTGAGGGACAGAATTTACATGTATTTGGAAAAGCAAGGACTGATTAGGGATAGTCAATATGACTTTGTGCATGGGAAATCGTGTCTCAATAATTTAAGTTTTTTTTTGAAGAAGTAACAAAGAGGATTGAGGAGGGCAGAACAGTGGACATGATCTATATGAACTTCAGTAAAGCATTCGGCAGGGTTCCTCATGGTAGACTGGTTAGCAAGGTTAGATCACATGAAATACAGGAAGAACTAGCCATTTGGATACAGAACTGGCTCAAAGGAAGAAGACAGAGGGTGGTGGTGGAAGGTTGCTTTTGAGACTGGAGGCCTGCAACCAGCAGTGTGCCACATGGTTCAGTACTGGGTCTACTACTTTTTGTCATTTATATGAATAATTTGGAATGTGAACATAGGAGATATGGTTAGTAAGTTTGCAGATGACACCAACATTGGAGGTGTAGTGGACAGCAAAGAAGGTTACATCAGAATACAATGGGATCTTGATCAGATGGGCTAATGGGCTGAGGAGTAGCAGATGGAGTTTATTTTAGATAAATGTGAGGTGCTGCATTTTCAAAAGACAAATCAGGTAGAACTTATACACTTAATGGTAAGGTCTTGGGGAATGTTGCTGAACAAACAAACCTTGGAATGCAGGTTCATAGTTCCTTGAAAGTGGAGTCGCACGTAGATAGGATAGTGAAGAAGGCGTTGGTATGCTTGCCTTTATTGGTCAGTACATTGAGTATAGGAGTTAAGAGGTCATGTTGTGGCTGTACAGGACATTGTTGGCCAGTTTTGGAATACTGTGCGCAATTCTGGTCTCCCTGCTATAGGAAGAACTTGAAAGGGTTCAGAAAAGGTCGACAAGGACGTTGTCAGGGTTGGACGGTTTGAGCTATAAAGCAGAAGCTGAATAGCGTGGGGCTATTTCCCCTGGATGACCTTAGAGGTTTATAAAATCATGACGGGCATGGACAGGGTAAATAGACAAGGTCTTTTCCCCTCACAAACTACAGGGCATAGGTTTAAGGTGAGAGGCGAAAGATTTAAAAGGATCCTAAAGGGCAATTTTTCATGCAGAGGGTGGTGGATATATGGAATGCGCCAGAGAAAGTGGAGGAGGCTGGTACAATTACACTATTTAAAAGGCATCTGGATTGGTATATGAATAGGAATGGTTTAGAGGGATATGGGCCAAATGCTGGCAAATAGGACTAGATTTATCTAGGATATTTGGTCGACATGGACAAGTTGGACCGAGGGGTCTGTTTCTGTGCGTACATCTTTATGACTCTATGACATTTTTAAAAAAGATGCATCAGGCTTGACAGACGGAACGGCCTATTCCTGTTCCCATTGCCATTATTTACTAAACCTGAATCAAAATTAGGGTTAGGGATGTGTTTTGTACTTGCACTTGCTCAATTTTATCAGTGGGAAGAACATCAAATAAATGTAAAGTTTTAAAAAATTCCTCATCTTTCCTAATCATTGTAAGTGGTATTATTATTCAAAACTTGGAAGTGATCTTTCTGCCATTCAAAACCGGCCAAAATCTCAACAGAGAGAGCCTGTGAGAGTGCAAAGCAGAGAGGGAGAGCTTTAGAGTGTGATTACAAGCAAAAGAGAAAGCAAGTGACAGTGAGCAAGACAAGAGAGCATGTGAAAATGCAGGTGTATGAATTCTTGACTATTTCCAGGCTACCTTGAAAGGAATAGAAGTTCTGTTGGTCTTTTAGAAGTTAAATGAAGGACAGGGATGCAGACAAGATGGAGATTCCTACATCAGGAGCTCCTATTTCTGACCCTGGAAGGGGCTTTTTCAAGTGGCTAGTACACTAAGTTGAGGTCTAGACTCTTAATGAGGGTTAATTTTTTTGAGGAAATGTGCAGGTTGGCCCCTTATTCGACAAATTAAAAGGTATCTATAGGGGCAGTGCGGGTTAACCCTTTCCAACCACATTCCCCACAGAACCCAAATTAAAGTGTGACAAACAAAGTTGTAGAATGGGGTGGGTTAGCGGCATTTGGAACCACTGGTTCATATGTTAAGTTAGTAGCATTTGCAAATCCTATGTATATTTTTGTGTCCCATATTTTTGCATGGTACATTCATGATCAGAACAAAAGGAACTGGACAAATGATATAGTTTGCATTCACACAACTACTGTTGCAAGTTAAGACCTCAGCCTAAATCTGGCATCAATATTATTTATTCATTACAGTGGTAGAAAAATGCCTTTATACAGTACCCAAAGTCATCCTACCTATGGATTAAAAGATCGGCTGATGTTGCTTCCTTGGTTCTGTAAAGTTACCAGGATGTCATCAATTTTTTCCATGTTCTCTTCTGTAGTGATGGTTGATGACAGTTGCCTTGTGTCAGTCATCTGCTGGGGGAGAAGTGTAGAAACAGCTTGTCCCTCAGTCTGTGCCTGTCCTGGCTGGCTCATCGCAAGCAGTTGATCAGATAATGTTGATGGTCCAGTAGGACATGGCTGGGATACATCTGTTATGTTCATTAACTGTCCACAATCTGTGGAAATAAGATTTTGTGTATATTTGTGGTTATAAATAGTTGTGTTATATTCCTTATTTGAAGGTCAAGACATTTTTATTCTCCACACCCCTCCCCAGCCATCTTTCCCTGCCCCTCTTCTTATTAAGAAGCTGTTACATCTCTTTTTCCAGTTCCGATGAAAAGTTTGACTTGAAACATTAACTCTGTTGCCCTCACTCTGGATGCTGCCTGAACTGTTGACTGTTTCCAGCATTTTCTATTTTCCATGTTGAAAATAAACAATGAATGCAGGTAGAATATTTCTCTGCACATGACAAAAGAATGCTAATTGGTTAGATCATGATTGGCATTTCAGAAACTGTTAACTGTCAATCTTATTTAGCTGAATACATGCTGGTGGGTCAGATAAACTGATTGGTCAGGGCAGTACACAGGACTGGCAGTCCCCATAATTCTTTCCCTACCAAAAAAATGCAATATATGGTCACATTCCTTTTGCCTATGAAGAAAAGGGTCCAGTGTAGAAACACAGGTCATGCTACCAGAACATGCAAACATAAACTGAACATCTCAAATGAGTTTCCTGTGTAATTCTGAACATTGTCTGCATTACTTAATAAATGTTGTCCAATAGCAGAATTATGGACTAGATCTAGTGCTTCATTACTAATGTAGAGACAGCAGTCTTCAGCAGCAACTAAAAGCACCAGTCAAACCCTTCGACTGTCCACAATGGACGGAGTCCTGATTGTGCTCAATTAGGTCATGCCTACAAAGCACAGAACAACACTTCTGATATTAGAGATAACAATGTGTAGAGCTGGATGAACACAGCAGGCCAAGCAGCAGAGGAGCAGGAAGGCTGACGTTTCGGGCATAGACCCTTCTTCAGAAATGGGGGAGGGGAAGGGTGTTCTGAAATAAATAGGGAGAGAGGGGGAGGCGGACAGAAGATGGATAGAGGAGAAGATAGGTGGAGAGGAGACAGACAGGTCAAAGAGGCGGGGATGGAGCCAGTAAAGGTGAGTGTAGATGGGGAGGTAGGGAGGAGATAGATCAGTCCGGGGAGGACGGACAGGTCAAGGGGGCGGGATGGGGGTGGGGCTTCAGGTGGGAGGAAGTACAGGTTAGGGAGGCGGGGACGAGCTGGGCTGGTTTTGGGATGTGGTAGGGGGAGGGGAGATTTTGAAGCTTGAGAAGTCCACATTGATACCATTGGGCTGCAGGGTTCTCAAGCAGAATATGAGTTGCTGTTCCTGCAACCTTTGGGTAGCATCGTTGTGGCACTGCAGGAGGCCCAGGATGGACATGTAGTCTGCGGAATGGGAGGGGGGAGTTGAAATGGTTCGCAACTGGGAGGTGCAGTTGTTTAGTGCGAACCAAGCGTAGGTGTTCTGCAAAGCGGTCCCCAAGCCTCCGCTTGGTTTCCCTGATGTAGAGGAGGCCACAACGGGAACAGCAGATGCAGTATACCACATTAGCAGATGTGCAGGTGAACATCTGCTTGATGTGGAAAGTCTTCTTGGGGCCTGGGATGGGGGTGAGGGGGGAGGTGTAGGGGCAGGTGTAGCACTTCCTGCGGTTGCAGGGAAAAGTGCCGGGTGTGATGGGGCTGGAGGGGAGTGTGGAGCGGACAAGGGAATCACAGAGAGTGTGGTCCCGCCGGAAGGCAGATAAGGGTGGGGAGGGAAAAATGTCTTTGGTGGTGGGGTCGGATTGCAGATGGCGGAAGTGTTGGAGGATGATGCGTTGGATCCGGAGGTTGGTGGGGTGGTACGCGAGGACGAGGGGGATTCTGTTTTGGTTGTTATTGCGGGGAGGGGGTGTGAGGGATGAGTTGCGGGAAATGCGGGAGACACTGTCGAGAGCGTTATCGACCGCTGAGCTGGGGGAAGTTGTGGTCCTTTAAAAACGAGGACATCTGAGACGTACAGGAGTGGAATGCCTCATCCTGGGAGCAGATGCGACGGAGGTGAAGGAATTGGGAATAGGGGATGGCATTTTTACAGGAAGGGAAGTTGCGGTCCTTAAAATGCAAAAATGCCATTCCCTATTCCCAATTCCTTCGCCTCCGCCGCATCTGAGGCATTCCACTCCCGTACATCTCAGATGTCCTCGTTTTTCAAGGACCGCAACTTCCCCTGCCTTGGTGGTCGAGAAAACCCGCATGGGCCCAAGCTATGCCTGCCTCTTTGTAGGTAACGTGGAACAATCCCTCTTCCGTACCTACACTGGCCCTAAACCCTACCTCTTCCTCCGTTACATGGATGACTGTATTGGCGCCGCCTCATGCTCCCACGAGGAGCTCGAACAGTTCATCCACTTCACCAACACCTTCCACCCCAACCTTAGGTTCACGTGGACCATCTCTAATACCTTTCTCTCCTTCCTGGACCTCTCTGTCTCCATCTCCGGCAACCACCGAGAAACCGATATCCATTTCAAGCCCACCGACTCCCACAGCTACCTAGAATACACCTCCTTCCTGCAAAAATGCCATCCCCTATTCCCAATTCCTTCACCTCTGCCGCATCTGCTCCCAGGATGAGGCATTCCACTCCTGTACATCTCATGTCCTCGTTTTTCAAGGACCGCAACCTCTCCCCCTCAGTGGTAGAGAACGCTCTCGACCGTGTCTCCCGCATTTCCCGCAACTCATCCCTCACACCCCCTCCCCGCAACAACAACCAAAACAGAATCCCCCTCGTCCTCGCGTACCACCCCACCAACCTCCGGATCCAACGCATCATCCTCAGACACTTCCGCCATCTGCAATCCGACCCCACCACCAAAGACATTTTTCCCTCCCCACCCTTATCTGCCTTCCGGAGGGACCACACTCTCCGTGACTCCCTTGTCCGCTCCACACTCCCCTCCAGCCCCACCACACCCGGCATTTTTCCCTGCAACCGCAGGAGGTGCTACACCTGCCCCTACACCTCCCCCCTCACTCCCATCCCAGGCCCCAAGAAGACTTTCCACATCAAGCAGATGTTTACCTGCACATCTGCTAATGTGGTATACTGCATCCGCTGTTCCCGTTGTGGCCTCCTCTACATCAGGGAAACCAAGCGGAAGCTTGGGGACCGCTTTGCAGAACACCTACGCTTGGTTCGCACTAAACAACTGCAACTCCCAGTTGCGAACCATTTCAACTCCCCCCTCCCATTCCGCAGACGACATGTCCATCCTGGGCCTCCTGCAGTGCCACAACGATGCTACCCAAAGGTTGCAGGAACAGCAACTCATATTCCGCTTGGGAACCCTGCAGCCCAATGGTATCAATATGGACTTCACAAGCTTCAAAATCTCCCCTCCCCCTACCGCATCCCAAAACCAGCCCAGCTTGTCCCCGCCTCCCTAACCTGTCCTTCTTCCCACCTATCCCCTCCTCCCACCTCAAGCCCCACCCCCATCTCCTACCTACTAACCTCATCCCGCCCCCTTGACTTGTCCGTCCTCCCTGAACTGATCTATCTCCTCCCTCCCTCCCCACCTACACTCACCTTTACTGGCTCCATCCCCGCCTCTTTGACCGGTCTGTCTCCTTTCCACCTATCTTCTCCTCTATCCATCTTCTGTCCGCCTCCCCCCCTCTCCCTATTTATTTCAGAACCCCCTTCCCCTCCCCCATTTCTGAAGAAGGGTCTGGGCCCGAAACGTCAGCCTTCCTGCTCCTCTGATGCTGCTTGGCCTGCTGTGTTCATCCAGCTCTATACCTTGCTATCTCAGATTCTCCAGCATCTGCAGTTCCTACTACTTCTGATATTAGATGTGATTCTCCTGTTTGACAGCATTTAATAAATAACCCTGACTGTGCTGAAAATTACACAAAAACCAATTTAAGATTATCAGTTGCATTTTCCGTGAGATTCATTTACACGTGCTGGAAACTACATATATTCACACATGGATTCTTTACCTCACTGGCAAAAGGAATATCAACACATCTTCCTCATGAGGAAAGGGTTGTGGAGATTGCTATTTCCTCATTCTCCATGGCAATGCCATGGCTGATGAGAATCCACCTCCCTGGTCGGAATTTATGCCTGCGTTTGCTGACACTGATGCATGCAAGCTATGTGCTGCTTGGAATCCCATACATGCAGATTTCAGGGAATGCAGTTGGAGTTGTGGGGAGAGATTTGGAGGGGTGGGGAGATATTGGGATCCAGGAGAGAACAGTGAGGTTGAGGTGTGACAACACCAACGGCCCAAGAGGTGGAGGAAGCACAGAAGACAGACATCCTTGGCTGCTGGGCTCCTCTTCTCTTCCCTTCTCACTCCTTTCCCACCATCCCCATTCCGTGCACAGTATCCCTCTGCATCATTGAAATCCACTTCCAAATTGTGGATGTTTCCTGGTGCATGCACAATAATACATTTGCCTGTGATATCACATGTAAAGTGGATGTGATGATGTCTGTGCTTAGAACTAGGTGTTCCCAATGAGTATGCATGTGTAGTTACTCAGAGTTGGTAATGTCAAAAATCACTTCTGGAGTTTAATCAGCTATGACTGATAGTTAATATCTACATCACCACACCAATCAACCAGCATCTGCTTCTAATACTGTATAAACTGTTCCTCCCTTAATAGGTTTGGTTTCTTACGACATAATCCTGATGAATACAAGGTGAAAAGCTTTGCCGCCTTGTCTCATTTTAGTAAAGCTTGAACTTCCAAGACTACTACAGGCAAGGGTCTAGATTGTTTGTAGATATTGTAGAGAAATGATGAGAAGTGAGTGTAAAAAGACGAAACCAAAAGAAACTATTTGAAATCAATCTGTTCTCCCTATTTAAGGATAAAGTTATTTATTTTGGATAAATTACTTTGACAAAATTGTCAAGCAAGAATCCAGTCTCTATTTAACCTTTATTAAGAAAACATTTTAATTAATAATCAAATACTTTGCAAACTTTTCAAGTTTGAAGAGGTTACCAAACTAGTTGGATGATTGCTTTCTTTCTCTACCAATAATTATGACATTAAAACTGGCTGCACCTTTAATACTATTTGTTGAGTGACAAGGGATCATGGATAAATTTAACTTTTTCACAGGAATCAAAGCTATGTGAAAAACACACACACCATTCTATATCCCTTATTGTAAATTTAATTTCACCAGGCAGCCCTTTGCACTTGGGCTTCAATCCAAATAGTGATAAATGATTTCAATTGAGATAATGGGCCCTTACTAATGTTTATACTATTTCACAGTCTATTTTATCCAACGATTACTCAATTGATTGCTTTAGTAATTTTATGCACAGAATGGGAGTTTTGACAATCATTTGGTATTGCATTTTGTAAATCTCTTTTCCTAGGAAAGTCACTTTATCTTGTGCAACCCCATATATTTATTTGTACAGTTTGTTAAACTTTGGAATACAAAGATGTGAAAATGAATTGAAACAGATCTTTTAAAAAAACAGACTATTCACTTTAAAAATTCAACAGATGTTAAAGATCCTGTTTATTCAAAAAAATCACTGACCCAAAACATCAGTTTTATTCACCAATGATCAGTTTTTCCTACCGTCATTCACAAGTGATCCATTCTTCGCAGACATACCACAATATTCGACTGAGAATTTTAAAATACTACTACTGGAAAAAAACTACATGTAGGAAAAAGCAAATCGGTGGAAGGCAGTACTGGTCAAATCAGCCTAGTGATAAAATATTTTTACCTCATATCTGAGCTTCTGTGGGATTTGTTCTCAGTCTAACTTGAGTTTTAATTGCAACTAAACAGTAAGTAAAATATGAAACAACAAGGTGCAGGGCTGGATGAACACAGCAGGCCAAGCAGCATCATAGGAGCAGAGAGGCTACTTGGCCTGCTGTGTTCATCCAGCCCTGCACCTTGTTGTCTTGGATTCTCCAGCATCTGCAGTTCCTACTATCTCTGATTCAGTAAAATATGAAGTATGAGTTCCTGGCCCTGTACCCAAATCTCCAGCTTGTAGGGACAATGAAGTTTGGAGCATATCAAATTATGTTTTTTCATTGTTTCAGATTAAACAGGAAATGTTTCTTTGAATAAATATGCAGCCAGGTCATCGCTTGTAATACCGAAAGAGAACAGATAATAATGAAATTCTTACCTTTTTTAAAGACGATAGGGAAAATTAGAGGTTAGATAGTATTTTGTCCTCCCGTCCTCCCCTCACCCCCACCCCCCGGCCCCGAATCACGGAGCTTTGTAACTGAGGACAATACATAAACTAGCATCTATCATTCAAGTCCATCTTGGCCCTTTAGTGAATGTTGGACAAGTCTGAATAACAGTATGAAGTTAGGTACTGATTTCTTCCAAAAGCAGGGGATTTAACTCTGCCTATATTGCACAATACCTTCAGAAGGTATTACGAGAACATACCATGACACATGATTTCAACCTTCACTTCTCCAACTAACAAACTGTTTTTTTTTATTATTAGGATAATATGGAATACAAAAAATATTTGTTTAATGACCTCATCCATGTGCTTGATGTGCAAATCCTTTGGTCCCCAATTGGCTCCACACACTTCTTTTTCCCCACCTTTAATTCATATGGCTAAAGGAATATTTTGGATTCCTTTTATGTCAAAAAGAAATATTGCATTTAAATAGCACTTTCCTCAACAACCAGACATCATAAAGCACTTTACAGCTAGTGAAATATTTTTGAGGTGTGGCCACAGAACTGGTGTAGAAAACATGGCAGTTAATTTGTACACAGCAAACTTTCTTATCAATATGATAATCACCGCATGGTTCGTTTTGTCACATTGATTAATAGATAAATATACTGGCCAGGGCACCAGGATAACTCACCTGCTCTTCTTTAAGAGTGCCATGGGAATTTCTTGAAAGTCCTGTTTACCTATTTGGATGGATGTAATGTGTGAGCTAAAAGATGGCACTTCTAACAGCGTAGTACTCCAAAGGAGTGTCTGCTTTGATTTTTGTGCTCATGCCCTGGATTTGAATCCAGAACCTTGAGATTCACAGGTGAGGGTTCACAAAATATTAGTATGCAATGAAATTAACAAGGATTTAGGACAAAAAGTACAAAGTACAATCTATAAATATTTAATTTGGTGGGCAAAATCAACTTTGTTGACAGAGTGAAATTTAATTCTTCGATTACACTTACCATTTTGAATTCCAAACAAGTACAAGCCAGTAGGTTGTTGGGCAGGTGCAGGTGTACTTTGAAGCTGATTCATAGTTCCTTGTGAGCGAAAAAGTGTACTTTGTTGACTTGGTACAGATGTGTTGGTCTGAAGGACAGACATATTATTTTGTGGATTAAAAATAGTGGACTGTTGCATCTCTTGTTGATTTATATCATTCTGTAATGCAGACATTGAAGTCTGGGAAATGAACAGTGTGACCTGCTGACTTTGGGCATCTCCTGAACTCTGAACTAACTGCATTGGAGGTTGGCCATGAAAAACTGATGGTTGTTGTTCGTCTGCCTGAGGTGTCCCACTGTTTTGAAGTGTTGAAACTGCGGTCTGATTTTGGAATTGTATGGATGATTGTTGTTCTTGATTAACAGCCACCATATTAGGTTGAGTATGAAAAAGAGTTTGGTTTTGCTGCTCCTGGGAAGCCAAATTTGTATTCATTGGAGGCATGGTACTCTGAGAATTGAAAAGGACATTCTGTTGTTGCTCCCGGGATGTCATGCTGCTATTTATTGGAGAAATGGTATTTTGAGAGCTAAAAAGAACATTCTGAGATTGATCTTGAGGTGAAGTGCTGTTGTGCAGAGTAGCTATTGAATGTTGGGTCTGAAACATTGATGTCTGCTGATTTTGAGGAGAAGTGTTAGCTTGGGGAGAGGACATTGTGACCTGATGTTGAAAAAGACTCTGTTGTTGATGTTGCTGCTCTTGAGGAATCATGGTACTCTGAATCTGAGACATGTGTGTCTGGGTCTGAAAGACATTCACAGATTGCTGCTCAGAATCTCCTGAACTCTGGAGTGCTTGGATTGAGCTTTGGGGTGAATAGAAGTTTATCGGTTGCTTTTCTTGTGACATGTTGCTATCTTGAAGTGAAGGCAAAGAGTTTGGAGAAAGAAAGAGTGCGCTTTGTTGCTGGTCTTGGCCAATTGAGGAACCTTGAAGAACTGCCATTGAATTTTGAGGATGGAACAATGTTGACTGTACTTGATCCTGGGAAGCAGCATTGTTCTGATGTTGTAGTACAGTACTAGGGCAATGATAAAGTCCAGACTGTGATTCTTGTGAATGGCCTGTACCTTGAACTTGATTTAGAGAATTTTGTGGATGAAACAATTCAGATGATGGATGTGATTGCTGCAGGAAGTTTCCAGGTTGCATTGAAATCATTTCCCCACCCTGTTGAAAAATCCCAGATTGCTGTGAAGAGCCACCAGTTTTTAGATGCATCATACCATCTGTATTAGAAAACAAAGTTACTTGAGGCTGGTTATCTCCACTCTGCTGCATCTGTACAATAGACTCAAACATATTGGTTTGTCTCTGGTTTGACTGCACAGAGGTCGCTTCCACAGTAACCATAGTGTTAGAGCACTGAAAGACACTCGGGGAAGAAGTTGGTTGCTGAGGATTTCCTTTGTTTTCTTTCCCTGCAACAGTTGTAGCAGGTGAAAACATTCCACTGTGGGATATTTGCTGGTTTTCATCACTGGACTGCAAACTAGACATAGCATGAGTGGGCTGCTGAAAAATATCACCTTGCTGGAGGGTTCCATTTAAAGAACCCTGGGCACTCATTACTTTAGAGGATTGGTACATGTCTGACTGGAGTTGTCTTGATCCAGGGCATATGTTCTGTTGCATTTCCATCAAGATGCCTGTTGAGGATTCTAGCACTTGTTGATTTGACAATGAATTCTCAGGTCCAGAGAGAACATTATCTGATCTAGGAAGCGATGTGTTGTCAGAACTTGAAAATAAACCTTGCGTGAGAGAGCTCTGCATAGAATTTACTTGGTGGAATAAATCTGCATTCATCTGGTCTTGTACCTGCTCCACAGGTTGTTGCATTGTCTCAGATGGACTAGATCCAGTAAATAACACAGAAGTTAATTGCTGCTGACTTGCCTCCAGAGCTTGTTGAACGATACTAACATTGTCACTTCTGCCACTGTTACCATTTGTTTGGAAGTTTCTTTGTTGCATCGAGTGCAAAGCATTCTGCAACTGAGATACATTGCCACTTGGTTGAAATAAGTTTGGTGAATGCTCTTGCAGGGCCTGTGCCTGTGTCGTTGATTGTTGCTGTTGCTTCTGGTGCTGATGTTGTTTCTGCTGTAGCGCAGAATCGGGCATTTGGGATAAGGATATCTTGGCTGCATCAGACTGCAAAACTTCTCTTGTTTGTACCTCCCTTGAATCTAGCAATATGTGAGCATTGTGAAATTGGGTTGTTTGTTGAAGCAAGCCTTCATTATTCTGGAGTTGGCTGGAACATTTAGATGCTGGAAAAGCACATGGCTGAGAAATGTCTTGTTTTTGTACAGTTGTCAAAGCGTCTGTATTTGAAAACATACTTGATTGAATTTGCTGGCACTGTTCGCTATCCCCCCCTTGATGAGATACAGATACAGAAAATGGTGCACTTGCTTGGACATTAGAAGAAATTTCCAAAGGTGGCTGTCCTGCTCCCATATCTTGACTCTGAACAAAAAAAAACATAAAACTCACTCAAAGCAATATTTATAAGCATCTGTACACTTAACATGTATTTTCTAATCAACCAACTCAGATGATTTTACACACCTCTGGAACAGGTGGGACTTAAACCCAGGCCTCCTGACCCAGAGGTACAACTATTAATTTTTTAAAAATTTAAAAGATCTTCATATTTTACATCGTTGCGCAGTTAAACCTGTTTGATAGTTTAGAACACACTGCAACTGGTAGTAATTGTCTAATGTCAGATGGAAAATGTGTATGTGCATAACTAGATGTCAACATTAACACACTGACAGATCAGGATATAAATAGAAACAGAGTCAGAAAACATGAGCAAGTATAAGCTATTCAGCCCTTCAAGCCTGCTCAACCATTTAACATGATAATGGCTGATCATCAACTTGGTACCTGTTCCCGTTTTCTCCCCATACCCTTTAAGTTTTAAGATGAAGAATCATACCTAAATCCTTCTTGAAAACATTAAATATTTTGGCTCCAACTGCTTCTGTGGCAGAGAATTCCACAGCCTCACCACTTTGAAGAAATTTATCTTCATCTCAGCTCTAAACGGTCAACACTATCTTTAGACCGTGACCGCTGGTTCTAGACTCCCCAGTTATTGGAAACGTCCTTCCTGTGTTTATTGTCTAATCATGATAGAATTTTGAGTTTCTACAAGATTTCCCATCATGCTTCTAAACTCCAGTGCGTTTAGTCCTAATCGATCCAGTCTTTCTTTATACATCAGTTCCACAATCCCAGGGAATCAGTCTGGTAAACCTTTTTGCAATCCCTCCACAGCAGAATATCCTCTCTCAGTGGAGAAGACTAAAACTGAGCACAATACTCCAGGTGTAGTCTCACTAAGCCCTAACGTAATTACAGCAAAATATCCCTGTACTTTAATTCTTTACTTATGAAGGCCAACATACTATTTGCCTTCTGGATGACCTGAATGTTTACTTTCAGCAACTAGTGTACAAGTATACACAGGCTTTGGTGCACCTTTCCCTCTCCCAATACATCACCATTCAGATAATAATTTGCCTTCCTGTTTTTGCAATCAAACTGGGTAACCCCATACTTACATTATATTTCAGCTGCCATGCATTCACCCACTCATTCAACTTGTCCAAATGACATTGGAGCATCTCTGCATCTTCCTCACAGCTCCCCTTCCAACCAGCTTTGTATAGCATCTGCAAACTTGGAGGTATTTCATTTACTTCCCTCATCTAAACCATATTCAACTCAATCAAATTTCCCAAAATCTGAAGCAAATGTTGATAGCTCTCCGTAAATCAAAAGTTTAATTATAAGATCACAACAATCTTCCTGAAATGTATTAAATAAGACTAACCATGAGAAGCCAAAACTAAGTGAAGAAGTATCATGATTCAATGTGCTACTAATCAAGGAAAGGAGGGAGTAAAGACATGCTTCCAAAACAAAGCAAAGCATTCTACACACAGACTTTTCTCTACTCATTTTAAAAAATGCATTTCTACCCATGGGTGAATATAAAAATCATACTTCAAAAGCTGCAGATGGTGTCTGATCCATTGGAGTCGTTGCCTCTTTCTTAATCACAACTGATGGCAGTATGGGTGATAACAAAGTAGTGGGGAGATCCACTTCTTCCAAGGAACAGCCTGCGACTTTCATTCCTGAAGCTATGAAGGAGTTTTTTTAAAAAAAGTCATACTTAAACCATACCTAAGAAACCAATTTATGTCAGTTATACTAGTAGTATTGATTGTATTGCCTTGACTAACATTTAAGGTATAAACGAGTACATTCAATGCATTTGTTAAGATATTCTATCCGCTAAGCTTAGTGGTTTTTCTGCAGGACAAAAGCAAACTCCTTTCAGTACTGTTGCCACCTTATTTTCAGATTAATTCTTGCCCAGAATTGCACAGTAACCGTAATGTCAATACATATCAATTTTAATCACAAAATTCCAAATTGAACAATAGCTTTCATTTATGTGGTATCTTTTATTTAGAAGAAATGCAGAGATATAGTGTAGCTAAAATGACAAACAGTGAGCAGGTTGAGAGGCCGGTAACAGGCTGAAGGATCTGAACAAATTTCTTAAAGTAGGATCAGAATGGTAGAATGGTGTGCCACGTATTGTGAAGCAGAGGCAGAAGAGAGGCCCTGCCACACATTATGGAGTAGAGGGAGAAGGGAGGCACAGGACAGGACAAGATGGAGTATGGTGATCAGATAGGCTGAGGCTGTGGTGATCTTCATGAGGGCCTTGCTTTGCTAATTGCCCCCCTTGGTTTCTTGAAGCCGCTGCCTCCACAGATTCTTCAGAACTTCTTAAAAGCCCTCTTTCATACTTGGTTGGATTGACTTCTCCAATTGCGTCTTTACTTCTTTTGTGCTCCTCGACTCTCAAGAGACATTCCTCCGATGAGCTTCATTATTTATGATAAACTTGTGGGTTTAAACTTCTTCCTCCCCAGACTTTACTGTTCACTGGCAATACTCCATCATCCTCTCTTGGTACATCAAATTCACTCTTTAATTCTACTAATACCTGAAATCACCACGTATATTTACTGGATCCCTGGATCAGCTTCTGCAGGATCAACATAAGCCTTCAGAGATTGTTTTTGACTAACAACATCCAGCAGTGGGTACACAGAAACTCTGCTCCTTGAACAGCAAGAGGATCACCCGTACTCCTTTAAAAATGTCTTTGAACTTGGATAAAGTGCTGAGATACTCCATGCTGATTCCAACCTGAAGATGACTTAGCTCCATCCCATTATTGGTCATCTCCTAAATAAGCATAAATTGTAAGAGAAAGAATTGTTTGTCAGGAATATCCCCCTTCCCAAGATGTAAACAAGGCGAGTGCAAATATCAGAATATGACAAAGTTGTCACTCTCAAGAAAACATCATCAGGAAGAAGCAAATCATGGGAACAGAAAGACAAAACTGCTTGATTATGCAGACCTAGATTATGTTTGATAAAGGCAGTAAAGCCAATTAAAAATAAGTTATAGGAACTATAAGAACAAGTAATCAAACTAAATGAAGGATTTGAATCAAATATGTCTGGGTTCTTGACACCTCCAGCTTCTAAATCAAATAAATATACTTGTTGACAAAGGGTAAACAGCTTGGTCTGAATTTCATACTTGGACAGAGAAAAACTTGCAACGCCTTTAGCGAATCTATTACAAAATAGTAACAGTACTGGCATTCATTCAACAATATAGAAAATGTGCTGTCCACAAAAAGCAGGAAAAATCAAAATCAAATAATTATTGACCCATCAACCTCAATCATCATCATGTGAAGCAAGGTATTACTGACAGTGCTATCAAGCAGCACTCAGCTCACCAATAACCTACTCACAGAAGCTCAGTTTCAGACATCATTCAAACACCAGTACAAAAGATGGAAAAGAAAGCTAAACTCCAGACATATGCAGAGTGTGACTGCCCTTGACATCAAGACAACATTTGACCGAATATCAAGGAGCTGTAACAAATGTGAAGTCAGTAAGAATCTAGGAAAAATTTACCACTACTTGAAATTATGCCTTCCACAAAATTTGTTGGAGGCTAATCATCCCAAGACCAGGGCATAGACACAGAAGTTCTTCAGGTAACATCCTAGGCCAATGATCTTCAGGTGTTTCATCAGTGACATTCTTCTATCATAAGGTCAGAGGCAAGCATACTATCTGATGATTGCAGTGTTTAGGACAATGGAAACTACTCCATACTGAATGTACGGCAAGACCTGGATAACATATCACTCTTGGCTGATACGTGGCAAGTAACATTCAAGTGCCTGGTAATAACTACCTTCAAGAAGGACCGAATCATCTCCCAATTATATTCAATGGCATTACCAGTCCTGTCATCAATATCTTGGGGGTTCCTAACGACCTGTACTTAACTGAATCATCTATCTAGATACTATGGCTACAACAGGAAAATGATGGCCTGCAAAAGACGGCTTTGGATTGGGGGAAGGAAGATTTTATGACTATAAAGCTGGATCTGGCCAAAGTAGAACAACTCCTTGCAGATCAATCTACAGGGGGGCAATGAGGGTACATTTAAAAAGGAGCTGTGGTGACTATAGGTCTAACATGTACTCTTCAGAGGGAATCGTAAGAGCAATAATTTCAGAGGACCCTGGATGTTTAGGACAAAAACTCTGGATTGGATAAAGAAGAGGAGTAGGACTTTTAGCAAGTCCAAAGGGTGCAATTCAGCTGCAGCCCTAGAGAAATACAGGAAGTGCAGGAAGGAACTTAAGAAAGCAATTAGAAGAGCAAAAAGGTTGCATGAAAAAGGACTTGCAAACAGGATTAGGGAGAATCCAAAGCTATTTTAAAAGGGAAGAAGTTAATAAGGAAAGAGTAGGGGCCAAGGAGGCAACCTGTGTGTGAAGCAGAGGATATTGAAAAAGGGTGTTGAATGAACACTTCTCTTCGGTCTTCACTCTGGAAAAGGAGAATCTAAGTATGGAATTCAGGAAAGGGACTATGAGGAACTTGCACAGTTCAAACCATAGGAAATGGGGAGGTATTGGAGGCTCTGTTGGGCTTAAAAAAAAAAGTCAAATTCCCTGGCCCGACTGAATTGCAGCCCAGGCTGCTGTGGGAGGCGAAGCAGGAAATTGCAGGGTCTCTGACACAAATTTTTAATTCCTCTCGGGCCATGGGGCAAGTGCCTGAAGGCTGGAGGATGGCTAATGTGGTTCCACATTTTAAGAGGGGTGGTAGAGATGAACTAGGAAATTATAGACCGGTGAATCTCACGTTGGTGGTAGGGAAACTATTGGAAAAAATTCTGTAGTAGCAGATTAATACTCACTTGAAAAGGGTTAATTAGGGACAGTCAGCATGGCTTTAATCAGAGGGAGGTCATGTCTAATAAAATGTGTTGGAAGTTTCTGAAAATATGATCAGGTGTGGGGATGACAGAAATTCAGTTGATGTAGTTTATATGGATTTTAGCAAAGCTTTTGACAAGGTCCCACATGAGAGACTGATTGAGAAGGTTAAAGTACATGGAACTGAAGGAAACTTGGTGAGATGGATCAGAAACTGACTTAGTAATAAGACATAAAAAGAGTAGTAGTAGAAAGCTGTTTGAGTGACTGGAGGCCCGTGTCCAGCAATATACCACAAGGATCAGTACATAAAGAATACAGATGAAAACGTAGAGGGAACGTTAAACAAATTTGCAGACGGCACCAAGATTGGTAGCATGGTTAATAGCAAAGAAGATTGTAGGTTGTAGGTTACAGGAAGATATAGATGGGTTGGTCAGATAGGTAGACGGTATTTAGCCCTGATAAGTGTGAGGTGGTGCACTTTGGAAGAAAAAAACAAGATGAGGGAGTATTTAATGAGTGACTGGGCAATGGATAGCTTAGAGGAACAGAGGCATCTTGGGGTAGTTATTCACGGATCCCTGAAGTTGGCAAAGCGCATGAACTGGATAGTTAAGAAGGCATATGGGACACCTGCTTTCATCAGTCATGGCATAGAGTATAACAGCAAGGAAGTAATGTTGGAGTTGTACACAACTTTGTTCAGGCCACAGTTGGAGTACTGTATGCAGTTCTGGTCAGCTCACAACAGGAAGGATGTGATAGCACTAGAGGGGATACAGAGGAGGTGCACCAGGATGTTGCCTGGGATGGAGACCTTGAGCTATAAGGAGAGACCAAGTAGGCTTGGACTGTTTTCTTTAGAGCAGCGAAGACTGAGGAGGGACATGATTGAGGTGTAGAAGATTATGGGGCGTATGGACAGGGTGAATGGAGGGCAGCTGTTCCCTTTAGTTGGGGAGTCGGTCACAAGAGGGCATAGTTTTAGGGTAAGGGGCAGGAGATCAGAAGGGATTTGGTTAAGGAAAAACCTTTTCACTCAGCAGGTGGTGGGAATTTGGAATGCACTGCTTGGGAAGGTAATGGACATTGAAACCTCACAACCTTTAAAATATTTGGATGAGTATGTCAAGGATACTGGGACAAATGCAGGAAATTGGTATCAATGGGATATCAATTGGTATATGAACGGGAAGTCAGAGGAATTCAAAGGTAAGAAACTTCCCTCAATTCCTCAAAGCCCATATATCATTTACCAGGCTCAAGGCATGAATGTATTAGAAAACTGTCTGCTTGCTTGGTCGAGTACAGTTCCAATAATATCCAAGAATCATGACACCATCCAAGATAATGCCTTTTTGATTTGTACCTCATGCATAACCGGGAACTTTCACTCCCTCCAGTACCACTGCAAACAGTCAGCACTGTATACAGCTGCAAGATGCAGTGCACTAACTAATCAATGCTCTTTCAAAAAGCAAAATTTAAATCTGCAATCCCTGACACCTAGAAGGAGAAGGATGGCAGACTTATGGGAACATAAGCCACTCCAAGTTTCCAACGAAGCCACACTCCATCCTGACTTGGAACTACATCAACATTCCTTCACTGATGCTGGGCCAAAACGCTGGAAACCTTTAACAGTACTGATGTGCAGGCACAAGAGAAGTTGCAGCAATTCAAGAAGATGGCTCACCACCATCCTCTCAGGGAAAATTAGGGATGGTGGGCCTGCATTCCAAAGTTAAATAAAGTAAAATACACAGCCTCATTATAATATTTAAAATGCTAACCTCTCTGGACAAGGGGCTACGCTAGAGCCCAAAAACTGGAGTACGGGGCTCAAGGCGGGGAGACACGGTGTTTGGGCAAAGGGACTCGAGCCAAGCTAAGGTGGACAAAATTACGAGGACATAGATAGGAAGAAAATATTCCCCTTAGTAAAGGGGTCAATAACTAGGGGTCGTAGTTTTAAGGTAAGGGGCAGGTAGGCTATTAGACAGAATTTGATGGGGGTCATAGTCGGGTGGGGGGAGGTTGACGTAAGCATATTTTGTAACTTACTGGCTGAAAAGGGTGCTAAAGGCAGGAACCCCTACAATATTTAAGAATTATTTACTTGAACACTTAAAATGCCATAGCATACAAGGCTATGGGACAACTGCTGGAAAATGGGATCAGAGTAGATAGGTGCTTGATGAGTGGTATGAGCATGATAGGCCTCTTTCCATGCTGTAAAAACTCCATAACTCCATTATATTGTTTGGAATTACCAACCTTCCTAGGATTTCAAACATGTTATTCTCTTTCTTTGCAGGGATTAAAGTAAATTGTTCTATATCAAATATTTAAGTAATTTTTCACAAAGATACAGCTAGATGAGTAACTAAAACTTAAGATATAGCTCATCTGAATAACCACTTGTGTAGAACACTAAGCAGATCAGAACTATTTATTTAAAACTTCAAAATAGTTCATCATGGTAGTGGACTTTAGTTTAATGTCATATGCAGTGACAGAATGATTTATATCAAAACTAAAACTTTAACATTTCATATGTGTGGCAAGCTGTAAAGAATATATGAAACAACAAGGTGCAGAGCTGGATGAACACAGCAGGCCAAGCAGCATCATAGGAGCAGAAAGGCTGACGTTTCGGGCCTAGACCCTTCATCAGAAAATATATGAAGCTCTCTCGGCTACTCATTATCAAGTTGGCAGTTGGGTACAGAGAACTTGATCAGTGGGCTATATATGAAATGATCATACATGCAGTGGAAATGTTTAACAGCACTCAGAATCTTAGATTAAAAACTTGGCCAGTGTTAAATATTAAACAGATTCTGGCCACCGGATATACATTTTAAAAAAAAATCTCTGCACACTTCACCTTCATAGAGGTGTACTGCTAAAGTAGAAAACCCATAGATTTACCACTGAAAATGCAGGGTAACAGAGATCCTCAAAATAATCACTGCTGTATAACAATAACATTTATACATTTTTACTTCTCAAAAGATTATTCCTTCACATCGGAGTTCCTGACTCTTTTGTGTTGCTGAATTTGACAAGTCAGTTAAGATCAATAATTTGTCATGCCTGCAAAACCACAGCCTCAATATTACTACTTTTCTTAAATGTATTAAGTACTGTTTTACCTTTCATTGTCTCTTCAAAAGAACATGGAGGGACAGGAATTTCTTTCTTCACATTTACGTCTGAGGAACTTGCTGGAACACAAATAGAATACACACTGAATTTTTTCAACACTCAATATCTTGTCCAGCATTCCTTTTGCTAAACATTATAACTATTCATCCTTATACATTGCTCATTTAGTTCTCTACGAAGACAGTACAAACAAGAATCATGACAATCAAATTACTGTATAATATTGAAAACATTTAATCATATTTGTATTCCGATATAGCCCTTAAAACATTAAAATAATATTTTCCCAGGTCGTAGATTGTACTTGATACTAAAGAAGAGTCCATGCTCTTCTACTTTGCTGCTTGATCAGATTCATACAACCCCACAGGGCACATATAAAGACAATATTCCCTTTAACAAGCAAATAATTTAAGCTCTGGCTTTCACCTGATCTTAATTTCCTGGTTTAGGGTTTATTCACCAATAGGTTTGGTTTAGGTCAGGAGGCTGGCCAGCTGGTTTGCAGAGTGATGCAAACAAGCGAGCAAGTCTACAACCTCATCCACCACCCAAGCTACAAATCTGCTCAAAAACTATTCCAATTTTCACTAAAAATGGTTGTGGTGGGTCCATCAGCAGGATCATGTTATTCTGGAGTAGACTGAGGATGGAGACAAATTCATGAGGGTTGCCAAATTTGAGATGGATACTCCATAAATGTTCAAGATCAGAGACAAAGGCATGTGAGAAGTCCTAAAAGGCCATTTGTAGCCAATAGTGGTTCCCATGGTTTTGGAACAAATTCCTTGGCCACGGGGCAGCTGAGGAGCATTCTTGCAATGATCTTCCCTATAGCAAAAGAAGATATCCCCCAGCTGGACTTGTCACATTGATTGAATATAGTCACGTTCACTGCATCCTTCATTTCTACAACATGCATTTTTTTCTTCGAGTGATACGAAATTGTGCAGCATGCCAGAAGTGCATCTCCATTGTGTTTCAAAATTACAGAGGAATTCCAACAGCTCAAAGGCTGCGTTGTTTTTGAGAAGCTGAAATTCTTTTCAACTTTACTGTAGATTGGAATAACACTGAGACAAGCCACAAAGGGTATTCTGGAATGGAGTTGAGGATTTTTGAGTCAAAGACAGGCCTCTCAGTTGGAACCCTTAAATGTCCTCTCAAGTACACAGTGACTGTCTCCCTGTCCTTGATGACCTCCCCTCTTTGCTTGGTTGTCAGCAGTGTTGGGTGAGTGCTTGGAATATAAATCATTTTGATAGCATTGAGGAAGCTGTGTTTCCTTGATGTTTGCAAGTTTTTAAATTTCTCACACTTTGTCAGCCAAGCATTTTTGTAATATTGTGCATTTGATGCCATACCACTGCTTTCAGTTGCCTGTATAAATGGAGTTTTTCTCGTGGGCCATGCAGCTTCCAGTCAATGAAAGCCTTGTGCTTACACTCAATTATGTCCTGTAGATCATGGATCATCTTTAATCAAATCAGTCACGATACTTTCTGACAGATTAGGCCAAATGTCTCTTCTTTGCAAGTGCTGGTTTTGGATGATTTTTGGGCCATTCAGGCACTATGGGCACACTGTACCTACCAGTGGCTGGAGGTTGAGAGTTGACAGTATGGCACCAACTCAGAAGAGCTGCCTAGGTGAGATTTTCGAGGCCATGATTAAATTTTATTGTGGCAATGCTCCAATTGCCTCCATCAGTTAGAGTCACGCTGATTAAAACAGTAGATCAGATGGGTCAATGTCAGTGCAGCAGTCATTACCACCTATCATTGTGCCAGAAAATCACTGCCTTAGCAAAATCCAGCAATTTAAATGCTAATTCAGGAATTCCCAAACTAAATTTGTCAGTCTTCCATACAAAATTGTGTTCGAGTCCATGATGTATTCTTCCATGGAATGACCATCTATTTTCTGAAATATATCGAATTCTCTTGAGGCAGGGATGAACTTCAATAATTCACACTTCTTGTAAATTTCTCAAGAACTTTAATAAAATATCCAAATCTTCTTCACTGTTCAATCAACGGGCCTCTTTTTTGTTTCCCTCAAATCCTTTGTGGGATTCAGGTGTTACTGGCAAAGCCAACATATGCTGATCATCTCCAACTGCCCTTGAATTAAGTGGCTTGCCAGAACAGAGACAATCAAGCACACTGCTATGCTTCTGAAGTCACATACAGGCTAGAAAAGGTAAGTACAGCAGATTTTCTTCCCTAAAAGTCATTTCTGAACCAAATGGATTCTTATGACATCAATAATAATTTTATGGTCACCATAACGAAGGTTAGTTTTCAATTCCAGATTGTATTAATTGAACTAAAATTCCATCAATTTCTGTGATGTGATTTGAATCTAAGTCTTCAGAATTCAGACTATCTCCGTAGTCTTATAAAATAATTAAATTCCAATTTAACTTATAAGTGACACTGCCAAGACCAGAATTCAAAATATATATGGAGGATACATATATATGGATGCAGCCCAAATATATCCCTACAGCTTTATAACGCCTGGAAAAATCTCATTACTAGAGCAACCAGTCCAGGGATACAGACACTACCACTGTGCTTCAAGACATAAGGATATTAACTGGTGAATTACATCATTTGCATACAATTAAAGGCAAATGTACAATCAACAATTGTCCATGTGCAAACAAACCTGATTTTGCCTGGTTCAATGTGTGATGAACTAAATGCAATCCACTGGCTATATTTGGCCATTCCTGCCACAAGAAATTTGCCAAATTTAAAAAAAAAGGAAAAATAATATAGAGCTAATAGGGTTTTTGATGGAACCCAGAATATATTAAAGTAAATTAAGGAAGAATTACCTAAAAGGATTGTTAAATCATATGTAAAATTTAGTAAATTAGGTTTGTCAAAATGTTGCTATAATCTAGTGACACCAACAAACTGCTGTCACTGCTTTTCCAACTGGCTGCATCAGTAACCAACTAGATGCTAGTCTTTAGCGGCTTTCAACAAAGGTACTAATCAATTAATTATCAAACTTATTTGTACTGGATTTATCATGGCTTTTTCTCTCCAAGTTCAAACATTTAAATAGACAATGATGCAAAGACATTGTGTTGAACTTCACTAACCTGGATCAGGGGTGAAAGTGAAAGGCTGCATTTCATGTGACCTTCCAGCATTGGTTACGACATAAATTCCAACTGAAACAGGTGATGTTATGTGTGGATTGTGATATGGAGGAACTTTAACAATTAGATGATTCTTTGAAAAGAAACAAAACAAAAATCACATATGGTGAATAGGTAACATTAATAATCTCAAATTATTTTAAGAATGCATTAAAAAATTGCCCATTTAGAGACAAAACAATATAGATAAATGCAACAAATATTGCTTAAAGGGCAAGAAATACAGTGGAACATTCATCTTACCCTTCTCTGTTTGAAAATTGTATGAAAAACAATGGTCCTAAATATTGGTCGAACAAATAAATACAGCTCCACAGAGTGATAATCTGCTGGATGGATGATCCAGTCAGGCCATGTGGGTTGAAATGACGAACAACAAAGGGGCAATCGTTATGCTAGAAATGTACTGTAGAACTCCAGAATGAGAGGCAATGAGACAGAAAAAAGATACAGTGGAAGTGTTGGAGAGAAAATATACAAATTTCTCAGATGTGCAAAGTCAGTATGACAGTAATAATGGGGAACTTCATCTGTCCTATTACCAATAGTGTCAGAAATGATGTAACAAGTAGAATGAATAGAGTTCTTAAAATGCAATTAGGAGAATGAGTACATAACCAACTCAAAAAAAAAGAAAAAATAGCTTTGGGAAATGAAGTTAAGCAGGAGCAAGGGATGTCAGTAGGATAATTAGTTAGATGGTGGTGATAATCAGTTGGATGTCATGTTGTCCTATTCCATAACTACAATGGACCAGGAATGAAATTTCTTGGTTAGAAAAGGCTAATTTTACTAAGCTGAGAAGTGATTTAGCTAAAGTGCATTGGAAAGAGCTACTTGAATATGAAAGTGCAAGAGCAACGAGAGGCATTTCAAAAGACATAGCGATGGTTCAGAACAATATGTTTTCATAAAGACAAATGGGTGGGACTCCCAAATTTAAATCTGCCTGAATATCAAAAGCAAACAGGGGTAGAATGAAGTAAAATAGGGGAGCTTATGTCAAATACTTAGAACTCAAGATTCCAGAAACCTGAAGGGGAAGAAAATGCAGAGTGAAATTAAAAACGAAATCAGTAAAGCAGAGAGGTTATGAAAAATTATTGGCATGTAAACTAAAGATAATCCAAAAACTTTTATCAGTACATAAGGACCAGGAGGAGATGGCAATGAGACACTAAAAGGGTGTCTCACTGCTGACAGTGCACCATTATTTATAAAGAAAGGGTGGGATAGACAGGAATTACAGGTCAAAACTGAGGAAGGGTTACTGGACCCGAAACGTTAACTCTGATTTTTTTTCTCAGATGCTGCTAGATGTGCTGAGCGTTTCCAGCAACTTATGTTTTTGTTCAGGAATTACAGCTCAGTCAGCTTAACATTGGTGGACACAATACTAGGCAAAAATATGTAAAAAGGAGCAAATAATCAAGGTCAGTCATAGATTAGTGTAGAGAAGGTCATGTCTCACTAACATGTAACAGAGGTTCAACAATAGCAAAAGTTACTTTATTTAATGTTGGAATGAGAGAGTTGCTGTCTAGGCCAGCATTTGTTGCTTATTCCTAAATATCCTTGTGAAGATAGTTGTCCGCATAGATTTCAAAAAGGCTGTTGACATGTCCAACATGTAAGACTAATTAGAAAAGTTTTGAAATTCGAGGGCAAGTGGCAAGCTTGTTCCAAAATTGATTCTGTGACATAAGGAAAAGTCTATGGCCTAGAAGTGTTTTTGTGAAAAGGCAGTAAATCCAGAAAATCTTGTCACATTTAAAAAGTGCTTGAATATTCCTTTGAGGTACCATAATCAAAGGCTATCAAGCAAAGGTAGAAAAGTGGGATTTGGTGGATGGATCTTTTGCAGTCGACACAAACACCAGCCCTTTCTATGCTTTTAATTCTTATGATTCTTTGAAATAGCAGAGAAATTCAAAATGTAAAGAAAGCTAACTAAACACTGAATCTATAGATATTTAGTACCAGTGAAAGATCAAAACTAGTACTTTAAAAAATGGGAGACTCTTATTAGTGAAGAATTAAAAACGGTTTTACAACTTGCTATGGTGCAATATGAATCTAAGACTTCTTGATTGCTAATCTAGCACCCCAACTATTAGGCTGCCATACTCTTACAGTCTGCTTAGATGTAGGATTTTGGACAGAGGAACTGACAGCATACAGTGATGATATTGAGATGGCTTTGAGCTATGGACACCAGAACAGTGGTGTCCATTAACGTAAAAGAGAGAAATGCTGTGTGTAGGAGTACTAGCACAGAGATTCTAGTCTGTGGGAAAGAGAAGACGAGATTTCACTGATATAAACCCAGTACATTGCTTTTGTCAGGCCAGATGCTCAAATTAGAGTTAATTTATGAGAGGAAGTGGGGAGAAAATAAAGGTATAGTTGCTGAAAGTGGAGCAGGAGCAGGAGGTAAAAGAGGTGGTGTGGGAACTATAAAGGACTGAGACAAGACAGGCTTCAGCAATAGATGGTGACAAAAACGGGGAAGAAGATGGAAAAGATAGGCAATTGCACGATGAAGACAGGAGGAAGAACAGCATAAAGGACTTGGGTAGTAAGAAATGGGGGGGGGGGGGGGAAGTAAAGTCAAATTTAATTATGTACAAGGAGTGACAGTATAGGTGGAAGCGGGATTTGTGGAGGATGAAGACAAAGCAGAAAAAAATGGCTGAAGGAGAATCCTTCCCCAGTGTTTTTTTTTCAAGAAAAGGCTTTTTCCAGAAATAAGCTGTAAAAGCCTACTGGTACAAATTTGTACCTACCAGACAAAACTCCTGAATTCAACAGTCACTCCTTTTAAGCAATCTGTATACATCTTATTTTTATGGAAATTGACTCTCAGTGCCATATAGATTACACACTGACAGTAAGCAAACAGTTGACAGCTGTCAGCCGTAGCTCAATCAGTAGCACATCCACCAGGTCAGAAATTTGAGGGCTTATGTCCCATTCCAGCTCTTGAGCACAAAAAGAAAGGCTAACATTTCAGTGCAGGACTAAGGGAGTGCTGATCTGTCAATAGTTCTGTTCTTCAGAGATGATGGTATGCTGAGGCCTCTCTGGTGGCCATAGAATACTCCGTGACATTGTGTTGGCGAGCAGGGGGGATATCTCCAGGTCCTGGAGAATAATCAGTCAGTCAACATACGGCTGTCTCAGAGTTTATGGTTGTTTAGCTTTCTTACTATGATGAGACAAGATGAATAAACAATTTCATCTGCTTCATTTAAATTCCAGTGAACATACAAAGTGATAGTTATGATCACATTTACTTGTTTGCATCAACATAATTTGCACTCACATAATCCAAACAAAATGAATATCAGATATTACATAACTTTCATGAATGATCTTTCTTGATGTTAATTTTATTTCCTATGCCCCTACCTGGATTTCTTTGCACTCAACGGCCCTTACTGTCCTTTTAGCTGTGAAATGTTCAGATTCAACAGCCAGACACTAGTGTCAGCTTTAAATAAAGTTCAATCTTCTCTCTCTACTCCTGGCTTCACCACCCCAGCAGTGGAATTCACTGACTTAACCTGAAAATAAGACCCGCTGAATTCCAATGAATAAAGCAAATGCAGCAGAAAAGTGTGTGAACAATTAGTGGAATGTCATAGAACATAGAATAGTACAGCACAGTACAGGCCCTTCAGCCCACGATGTTGTGCCGACCTATTATCCTACTAAGATCAAACTACCCTGCATACCCTACATTTTACTATCATCCATGTGCCTATCCAAGAGTCATTTGAATGTCCTCAATGGATCTAACTCCACTACCACCGCCGGCAGCACATTCCACGCACCCACTACTCTGTGTAACCTACCTCTGACATCTCCCCTATACCTTCCTCCAATCACATTAAAATTGTGCCCCCTCGTAATAGTGTTTTTTTCCAGGGCGGAAATGATTATCTTTTATTGGATTCATCACTATGGTTCACACAACCCTTTTGAAGTATTCTCAGCAAGGGTCACCGGACTTGAAATGTTAACTCTGATGTTTTCTTCACAGATGCTGCCAGACCTGCTGAGCTTTTCCAGCAACTTCTGTTTTTGTTCCTTCTGAAGTATTATTTGTAACTGTGAGCTCTGCTGCCACAAGTACAACACTTGTTAGATAAGATTTGTTCAATAATAATGTTTGAACATACAGCACAAAAAGTTTCCCCCATATCAGAATATGAAAACCTAGAATGCAATACTTAGGTAGTTAGGTTGCACTTAACGTAGTCATTTTTTTCAAAACAAAATGTATACCTCTTCGACATGAAGAAAATGCACATTCTAGTGATGATTAGTATTTGTTATTATGTTAACAAGGTTTGTTACATTTAAAAAAAAAAAAAGTTTTCTAAAGTCCAAATTCGCTATTATTTTTCAATGTGATGGGGACCTGAAGTCATAACAGGGGAATTTAAAGCCATGTCCTATTTGCAATCAGCTGAATGCCTCTTACAGAACTGACCTATTCAATTTAAACTTGAAGATGCAGTTTGTAGGGATAAATCAAAAGATAAAAATATATCAACATTTATATATAGGTGAATGGCATGACAGGCATAGAAAAACAACATGACAAAAAAGGCAACGTAAATCGGCAACAAGGGAAAAGATTACAGGAACCAAGTACAATACCACAGAATACAGAAAGAATATAAACATTCTTTCCCTTTCATGAAAGTACTCTGAGTATCTAAACTCACCTGATGGAAAAGTTCCATGTCAATTTCAGCTTCTGCTTTCCAAGGATTATTCTCTTCTAGTTAAGATAAGCAAATTTGTTAAAAAGTTAATAAATATTATTCCAAGGTCTTATTTTTCAGGTGTTCTGTTGCTTCTATAACAAAAGGTGTTAATTAGAAATAGATCAGAGAAATTTTCTTAAAAATGAACCTGTGCTTAAGGATAGATTATAATGATAAACACAATAAAATACACATTAAAAGTATTTATATTCTTAGGCAAAGTGAACTATTGTCCACATTATCCAAAATATTATAATTCAAAAAATAAAATTGGATATGAAATACCAGGCTGCACCAATGGCTGAGCAAGTCTACTTGCTCTCCACTGTATAGCTTTGCATTACTGACTGGCAAAATCACAAGTTTGACCAATGGTCTCTAGCCTTTTCAGACTCAAAACATCAACTCCATTTCTATCTCCACAGATGCTGCTAGACCTGCCAAGCTCCTCCAGCATTTTCTCTTTTTATATCACATTTATAACATTTACTAGTTCTGATGACAGTTCATGTCTCCTCAGATGATGCTGAGTATTTCCAATATTTGCTTTTTTATTTCAGATTTCCAGCAACTACGGTATTTTAATCTTTATATTGTTTAATTTTGTAAGATCATCAGCCCCACAGTCAGAGGTGGAAGCTACTAAAGTATGTTGGGAAGTGCCTCTCCATCGTAATCAAATATTAATGAAGGGTAGAAGAAGGGCCAACAGAGATGTATAAATAGGCCAGAAGAGTCAGGGCCTTTGGAAAGAAGAGGAAAAGCATTCCACTGTAACAAACACTGCTGCAATTGTGGCAGCTAAATTAGAATGGTGTTTTCTTGTCTGAATGGTGTTTCTAGCTCTGATGGCTATCCTGCCACCATTTCTAAGATATCCTCCTATCTCAGCATGCACGCCACAGTTACTGAAACATCCAGATGGCATTGGGAGATTTCCTAAGCCCTCAAAGTCAGGTAACTAAACCTGTAATCAGCTCACTCCCTGCAGAATCTTGAGGTAACGAGAATAAATCATGGTGGTGGATAGATGGAATATCCTTCATATTTTCAGGCCAGCCTGCCTCCTGGTCACTTCCAAGCACCCTTAAAATATTCTAAGTTTTGTGTCACGTTGGCTCTGTTTGTAACATTCTTTGCTTGAAAAATTATGCATTCGAGTTACAGAACAGCTTATTTTAGGCTCGTGCTTCTGTACCAAATAAAGACTAAATCATTGGCAATATCATCCTTAAAATAAAACATTGAATTCAGACTCTTATCTCAGATTCCAATTTTTCCAGACTTTAACGGTCCCATGACAGTATTTGAAAACTAAAAGCAATCATTGTCCTGATTCCTGATCTTCCTTCAATCAATATGCACAAAAAGCAGATCAACGATTAATTTCTGTTCTTGTGATTTTTCAAGCATAGAACAGTTGTTGTGTTTAACTATGTATACCCTAGAAACATGCTGTGCCCACAATAACATGTTGCAGTGTGATTAGTTGCTATGAAAATATTAAAGGCTTAACATTGGCATGTTTTTCTGGAAATGCTACAATATTCAACATTTCCACTCAAATTCTGAATTTAAAAGTTCACATGGAGGTGATGTATAAATGTCTTTGAAAACAGAAATCTAGTATTTTTTTAAACAATACTTTTTGATCTAGATGACCAGATCTCAAATATGCAAATTCACCAGTGCCATCTCCAAACCACCTAGAAAAATTCACTCACAGGGGTGAGCAATCACAAAATATTCACCTTATTATTAGAATGGAAGGAAATGATGAGGAGTTGATATTCCAATCAGAGGTGGATTCTCTCCTGTGCTTGCTGCTAATAGACTGACCAGTAATGTGGTTAGGTTACCTCAGGGTCTATGGTTTGGTTTGAGGGAAGGAGGTGTGGCAGACAGAGAAGTTCAAGAGAGTTGGTGGGGGGGATGTGACGGGAAGTTGCAAGGCAGGGTAGGAGGGAGAGAGAGGTTGCAATTTAGTGGAGGAATGGTGGAGAGGAGGAAAGCTGCAAAGAAGAGCAAACACTTTTAAACCTTTCAACAAAGGAACTCTCAGGTAATTGGGAAGCCTGAAAACTTCAGATCACTAAGCTAATGATTTAATTGCAAGTGAATGTGGAACCTCTACCTTAATGTTGTCTATATGGGGAAAAACTGCATTGGATGCTCTTGTAATGAACACAGAGTCATTGTTAAATTTCTATCTAAGATTGAGATCGAAGATGCAGCAAAAAGGATTGTAACTGCCTGATAAAAATATTCCTCCTTTTCAAATACTTGATGGAAATTTGTTAGCTGCATTCTCACCAATTTAGAAAATGTGTTTCAGGCAACGGCTTTTAGTGTGTCAAAGTCTCCATCAATTGTTATGAAATAAGAAATTGTGTTGCTTACTAATTCTGGTGGTTTTGAGCCAATTTAATACTGTGTTGTTTAGAAAACCAATGCTTTCCTCTGTGTTGAGGTTTTAAATTTAATGGAAGGTTAATAATTATTGAGGATGATGCTAAATTCCTCGAATTCTGCTTCTAAGAGTTGATAGTTTATGAAAAAAGTAACATCAGTGAGCAATAAGAAAATAGCAATAAAATGTAGACTAGATTCATAAGTGATTCATCCCTGTAAATAAAAAGTTTCCATTCTTCTGTGACACCTATACCAAATATAAATTAAAGCAATAGTACAATGGGTATGCTCATTTTTAGTTGACATTGCATTAAATTGTTTTTTAAACCCTAACCCTTGTATAGTCTGGTAGTCTATACTTTTTAAACTTGACTTCAACTGAATCTGTGCAATCAGTGTGGGCTCTTGAAGTATGAAGAGTGGGCAGCAAGGATAGAACTTAAAAGGTGTGTCAAAAGTATTTGGGAATAATTTTTCCAGTAATCAAAACTAGAGAACTGTACTTCGATTGGTCATAGTTTTGTTAGCTGAGCTTTAAGCTGAATATGGTTTTATTCTTTAAGTAGAGGCTTAACTTTTGAGGAACAAAAAACAATGAAGTTTAGACAACTGGACTCACGAACAACAAAATGCTGGCCATAAGCTCAGACAAGCCTGGTTCACTAGTGATTTAATTTTCTCTGATGTCACATTATAGAACTAGTTTAGGTTCAGTATTACATGGTATTACTGTATTTCAAATTTTATTGTGACAGTACTTTTCATGTGAAGCAGCTTGAGTGCACATTGGTGAATGTCATAGTAAGTGAGATACAGCTGCTAGAAATGTTGCACATAGCCTTGAATGGAGACTTGGACACTAAAACATACAGGAGCTAAAAAATTCTCCTCACATTAGCCAAAACTTACCTCCCAAAAAAATTCAAAACAGATTACTGGGGCAATACTTGGTTATTAATTTTCAGACAGTTAGTGCTCCACAGTGATGACATCACCCAAGGTGCACGTACTTGTTAATCCCAGCTTTCCATAACACAATGAGTTCGGTAGTTGCTATATAAATGAATACAAACATAAATTTGATAGATTTTTATTTCATTACAGAGCATGAGCTTACCTGAATGACTCTCTTGAAAAATAACCTTAGTGCCTTTTAAAAAGTTTTTTCCGATCAGAAATAATTCTTCTCCTCCTTTCACTGTACAAGTGTGCAAGCTTTTTTTCAATATCTCGGGTGCTCCAGCTGGTTGAGCTTTAAATAAAATGAAAAACAAATCTGGTTTATAATCTATCAAGTGGCGAGATTAAAGTTACACAGTAACTTCAAAATCTTGAAGGATTTACAATACAACAGTATAACGCAGAAACAAGTTTCTTCGGTGCTTTCATCTGTCTGCTAAATTGGGTGAAATAAATTTTAAACTGCTTACAAAAGTTTTGGAGGGGTTTTATTGACAAAAATTAAGGGTAAGAAATTCTGATAAATGACACATACATTGGAATCTTGATAGAATGGGGAATCTAATTTGTTTTTATTATAATGTAAACTATATTGTATTGAAAGACATGGAATATAAACTAAACATCTTCCCAAAGAACTTAGAAAATTACGAAGGAAACTTCCATCACACGGTTGCTCCCGACCACTTCTTAGAAGATAGCCAGCTACGGTGCTGTAAGAGGCCTAATATCAGATTACCTCTGCGATTTTTTTTTTTTCCCTCAACAATAAGTTTGTTTATTACAGAGTCACAATTTTTGGATTCTTAAATAACCTTTCCTTCTTGAACTGTTTTAATGGCAGTCTGCAGAAGCAGACGTTGTTCACTGTGATTTGTATACTTTACCTCTTCAGTAATCCGATTTTGCCTAGCTGCATGGCCCTAAGAATTAGCAATGACGATATTGGAGTTAGCATGCTTGCCAAGAATTTAAGTTAAGATACAAGCTCTAGTCCAAGTCCACACTTTAGACTAGCACTTTCGTCCAGTACCGTGGGAGTGCTGCACTATTCAGGGTGCTGTCTTTCAGATAAGGCATTAAAGTGATGCTCATTCTGCTCACCAGTGGGCATAAAAAAATTACAACATTCAAGATTGAACAGAAGAACTGTCCTAGTGTCGAAAATAACATGAAAATAACTGATTGGAAAGAAGAACTAAAAATCCCAAGCAACACGAATAATGTTTGAGCTCATTGCTTATTAAAAAATAAGCAAGCTGACCAAAAGCATTTTTCTGTCAGCCAACAGGTACTGCTCGGTGTATGTGTAAATATACATTGAGTTGATATGTAAACAGTGATTGTGAATAAGTCTGTGTATAGTGTAATTAGTTCAAGAGTTCAAATAATGTGTCTACTGTTGAGTTTAGCTCCATATTCGTGAAGAATTGTTTACTTTTTTTCATATCACATATTAAGCTCCAGTACTCTCATAATGCAATGTAGAAAATGTCCTGCAAACATTGAATTACTGTACAAATACTGGAGAAGGTAAGCAGTTTCAAGCCCTTCTTTCAAACTAACATAGGAATAAACAGGTCAAATTGGTAATTCAGCCATGAATAATGTCTGTTTTGGAAACTGCAAGAGAAGCAATTACATGCCACATTAGTATACAGCCAAAAATTAAAATAGAAATAAAAAGTTATTTTACACTATTTTACTCAGTATCTTAGGACTGATTAGTACAATTTCCAGTATAAATTTGAATAACCAGCTTCAAGTAGCAAACACAAATAGCTACATTGAAAACAAGTTTGTTTTTCCCCTCCATTAAGTAGTAAGAAATGCCTGCAGCTATTAATTGTACTATTTAAATTCCGTAGGCATGCAAGATGTTTTAGACCTACACACAATGCAAGGGTACAATTATTGTCCAGTTAATGTTTAACAGACAATATTATACCATTTCACTTTTATCTTCAGTGCTAAATTCAGCTTTATATTTTTGTTGTGTAATATGAAAGACAACACCCTCTAACAAAATAGCCACAATAAGTCATCAAGGAATAAATGGAGTAATTTCTTTTTGTTAGTTTAAGGAAGTTCATTTATGACCTATTAATATTTCATCTTTCAAACTAAACAAGCATTGCTTATCACGTGCTGTATGGATCTTTGAACTTGAATATAAGCTACTGAATTTGTTAATCATAATATGAATTACTTAACTCTGCAAAACATCGAACTATAAAACGTATTAACATTATGAAGGACCTCTCAGAAACTGATTGCAAAGTATGCTTTAAATTATTTTGCTTTCAGTTTCGTTGAAACAAGTTATACCATTCATTTTTTTATATTTTAGTAAGTTTCCTATGGAATTACTCTAAAGTAGTTACAGAATATATTGTTTTGAATGATAATATCGTGGCAGTGGTTAAAAATGTTATTTGCAAGACAGATATTATATTTTATGGATTTGCAAAAGGCCTAGAATGACTTTCAGGGAAGTAAACAACCATGTTTGGATGTGGGAGTTGGAATGGAGAATAACTGGGTATTTCTGGAGAGGGTGGGGTGACCATTAGGAATTTGGAGTCATGACAGAAAATGCTGAATACTCAACAGCTCTAGCAATGTGTGTGGTGACAGAAGCAGAGTTAATAATTCACCCTTTAATCAGAACTGGAATTTAGAATGCTATACTGATGACCTGGGGGCAGTGGTAATTTGGGGTAAATGAAGAATCAGAAGGAGGATAGCGGGGGAGTTTAGAAGTGTAAAGTTTGCCAAGATTAACACAGTCTCTTTCACCAGTAGCTCTTAGCTGGCAGGATTTCCTCTCCCAGGGACTTGATCTCACAGAAGCACTACTCCTGCTCGATCGAATCTCTAGTTGGAACAGCGCCTTCCCCAAAAAGAGGGGATGCAGTGCCCTCACCAGCTCGTGAAACCCTGATTGCCCACGTTAAATTCTACCCTGTGATAGAGTTTCATACAGAATTTTTGAAGCATGGTGAAGGGTTTCCAACTGTGATGCACAACAAGCCAGCCCAAAAAAAACTATGCTTTTAAAAGAAAGCAGTACTTACTGCATAGGATGGATGATGAAGGTGTCTGCAGAGTTAAAGTAGACCCATCAGCACGAATAATATTAACTCGGAATACCAACCGTGCACGAGTACTTTTTTTCTTGGATCCTGCAACACCAATTCGCGCTTCAACATCAGCATTTCTTAGTTTTAAAATTCCCACACAGTCAACTCTGCAAATACAAAATGGCCTAATTTAAAATAGTAATTGTGTAACAACTCTTAATGCCACAGAATCTTCTATCTCAAGCACCACTCTTGCTTCCCTGATCCCCAACAATAACCTGCAAGTTTTTGTTTTGAACAAAGGGCCAGTAACATGAAGAATGGTCCAAAGTTAGTTCACAGATATCGCAAAAGGATGCAGGTTCACAGGTCCCACATTGACAGCGACACTAAAGGAAATATGAATGATTGGGGCAACTTCACACATCACAGGCGCAGACTGCAACTCGCTCATACTCACTCATCAAAGTTGGAATCTTGCCATGGTGGATTGAAAGTCACCTGTGCAATGACCGCACGAAAATTGATGACATAACATGCATAGTGAGAAGAGCAAAATATTTAGAACCCAAGGTCCTGCTAGGGACAATTGCAACAATCATGCCTCAACTTCACAAATAAGTGCGTATGAAACAAACCACACCAGGAAAGAAGTAATTTGCATGGGTTGCTAACAGTTTGGCTAAAGGGGTAGACAGTTAAAGATGAGCAGTTTATGGAAAGATTTCAAAGAGACTTAGACCAATTAGCCTGAAGGTTCTATCAATTATGCTGGAGCAATGAGGTGAGATGATACACAGCAGTCCAGAGGCAGAGCAATGGAGAACATGGGGCTAAACCACTGAGAGTTATGGACAAGACCAAGAACAAAGTTTTCCTCTCCCTGGTGTGATGTGAGCAATGGCAAAGGTGAGAATGAAAAAACTATCAGAATTTCAATATAGGAAAAGAATAAATTGCAATTTTCCCCTCAAATCTTAAATAGTGACCAGAATATCTCACTGACCAGCAACAATGTGATTTTGATGCATCTGCATCTCATAAAAGCCCTAAATTCCCATCACTTCCAATTTTCCTCTCCTTCCCCAAGAAACTAAACAAAGCAAGTTTTTAACATGTAGGTCAGCGTGGGTACTTGGCAGTTGCAGCTCACTGAATGCATGACCCAGTTAACATGCAAATGCTTCTTCACAAAATCCCTGCATACCCTTTGGCCTCATCCTCCTTGATCTTTCATCCACATATGTTGGCATTGGCAAACCACCAGTTTCTCCACATTGCCATATCTCATCTTGGACAAGATCCATTCCCCACTTCATGCCCTCAACACTTTAATTTGGAGCACAGCGATGCCCATGACATGTAAGTTTCTGTCAGGTCATTTGGTGTGCAGGACGACATACATCTCATGTATTTACAAAAGAAGCTTGTCTTCTTAGTGCTCACTCATTTTGCACTTAATTAGAGGGTGCCAACCTCTATCTACTTCAGATTGCTTTCTATGTATGCTCACTGACTTACAGACAACCAGCCTCTGTGGGCTCACATTGCTTTTGAGTACAGAGGGAGAGGTGGACAGCTTATCATAGCAGGGAGCAGTGATCAGCCAAATGGGTTAGGCATGTCACTGAATGGCACAATGCTCAATCAACATGACACCTGCAGCACATGCAACATACACAATGAGTGTGCTTCAAGCAAATGACCATTTGTTAACCTCAAAGTGGAACAGTCCTTACTGCGGTGGAGAGAGATTACACATTGTCAGGGGACACTGCCACAGTCAGTGAAGGGCTTGGCACTACCAGAGTCTGTGATAGATATCCTTGCAGACCAGATAGAGAGGCATGCTCAGTCCTGCAAGACAAAAATAACCACTGAGGCAATTAACAGTAGGTCAGTTGGGGTGCTCTGGACACACCAGTCCATTGTCAGTCAGGTCTGTGTTGCAATGTCAGACTGGAGAGTGGGAGAAGGTAAGGCCTGGGGATTTGGTCAGTAATAGTCAGGGGCAGTCCATGGAGTGCTTGGAAAGTAAACAACTCAAGTCTGAGGATGAGCTTCACAGTGCTGGATTCCTGGAGAATGGTTACAGTGACATGGGCAATTGGATCAGTAGGGGAAAGATCTCTGTGAATAGGGGGGGGAACTGGGAGTTCCAGAAGTGAGGGGTACACAATGCTCATGGTAATTCAGGCCTCTACAGCCAAAAAAAAAAACTGGAAATTTCTAAAGCAATGGGCTCTGGGGTAAAGTGGAGACATTAATAGTTTACAAAGGGACTCAAATACCAGGGAAGGGTGAGGCCACTAGGACAGGGATAACAACACAGAGAACAAGGCAGCTTTGGGACAGATTTAAGCATCACAGGCCTTGCAATGCAAGACTGAAAGTCAACAAACAATGACTGCTCAAAATGGCTGACACACAGGTGGACAGGAGCACTTAAAAGAGGCTTCTGAGGTTTTCATTTCGCCAACGTATTCAGAAGCCAATGCTCTGCAGCTCCACTACTGTACACTTCACTCTTATGTATGGAGGTCCCCGGTTTACAGAACATCCAACTTCCACTCGTTCATATTGACGTACGTGATCCCGTAAAAGGGAGTTTTTTTTAAAAATCAATTTTAAAGACATGACATGCAAACATTTCCTCATACTTAGAATGGATATTTTATATTTTCCTGCATCATATTCGGGGTGGCACGGTGGCTCAGTGGTTAGCACTGCTGCCTCACAGCGCCAGGGACCCGGGTTCAATTCCACCCTTGGGCTGCTGTCTGTGTGGAGTTTGCACATTCTCCCCACGTCTGCATGGGTTTCCTCCCACAGTCCAAAAATGTGCAAATTAGGTGGAGTGGCCATGCTAAATTGCCCATAGTGTCCAGGGATGTGTAGATTAGGTGGGTTATAGGGGATGGGGATGGGTCTGGGTGGGATGCTCCAAGGGTCAGTGTGGACTTGTTGGGCTGAAGGGCCTGTTACCACACTGGAGGGATTCTTATGATTTTAACTTGCACACAAACTGATTTGTGAACAAACTCAAGACTGGAACCCATTCGTATCCCAGGGACTGCCTGTATGCAAGGATGTGCTTTGTAATGTGGAAGGGTGCTATTTGTTTCTTTTTCTTTATTCATTAATGGGATGAGATTGCCCATCCCTAATTACCCAGAGGGCCGTTAAGAGTCAACCACATTGCTGAGGGTCTGGAATCACATGTAGGCCAGACCAGGTAAGGATGGCAGTTTCCCTCCCTAAAGGGCATTAGTCAACCAGATGGGTTTTTCCTGACAATCGACAATGGATTCATGGTCATCATTAGATTCTTAATTCCAGATATTTTACTGAATTCAAATTCCACCATCTGTCGTGGCAGGATTCGAACCTGGGTCCCCGGAACATTATCTGGGTTCTCTGGATTAACAGTCCAACGATAATATCACTACACCATCATCTTCCCCATAAACCGAAAGTGCTCCTGGAATGTAACTGATAATTTGATTTATTTATAGTAGCCACATGTGCCCAACTGCAGTGAAAAGTTGATGCCATTTTCTCGAGCACAACACTTGATATTCTTTGCCCCTGCTCAGGCAATAAGATTTTCCACCATCACTGGCTTCTCTCAGGTACAGGCACTATCAACAGCAACCACATAGTTTTGAGAATGCCCCATCACCTACTTACAAAGTTCATAAGAAAATGCTTCCACTCCATCAGTGTTCAAATTATATGAGGTCCAGTAAAGCCAAATCTTGAAGCTTTGCACAAGATACTTCTGACTCTTTCAGAGATCTTCAAGCCATATTGGGAAGGCCACTAGGAGACAGGATGCTGCTTCAAACCTTTACTAAGATCTCAGATTGATGCAGAATAAAGATACAATGCTGCTCAAGCTATCACCAGGGCCTTGGTAGAACAGACTACAGGCCTCCTTAAAATAAGGTTTCAACACTTGGACAGCTCCAGTGAAGCTTACAGTACAGCCTGGAAAGCATGTGCCACTTCTTTGTGATATGTGTGCCCTTCACAACTGAAGCCAACTAGGGGAAGGTAAGATTTTTTTTTAATTCACTTGTGAGATGTGGTCTTTGCTGGCTGGCCAGCATTTATTGTCTGCCCCTAGTTGCCCTTGAGAAGGTGGTGATGAGCTGCCTTCTTGAATCTCTGCAGTTCATATGCTGTAGATAGACTCACAATATCATTAGGGGAGAATTCTAGGATTTTGATCTGGCAACAATGAAGAAACAGCAATATATTTCCAAGTCAGATGGTAAGTAACATGGAAGGGAACTTGCAGATGGCAGTGTTCCCATGTAAAAGCTGCCCTAAATCTAAATGTATTTAGATAGAAGTGGTCCATGAGTTTGGAAGGTGCTGTCTAAGGATCTTTGTCAATTTTCTGCAGTGCGTCTTGTAGATAGCACATACCGCTTCTGATGAGTGTCACTGCTGGTGGAGGGAGTGGATGTTTGTGGATGCAGTGATAATCAAGAAGCCTGCTTTGATCTGGATGTGTCATGTTTCTTGAGTGTTGTTTAAGTTGCACTCATCCAGGTAAGTGGGAACACTCCATCACTCCCCTGGCGTGTGCTTTGTAGATGGTGGATATACTCTGGGGAGTCAGGAAATGAGTAACTTACTGCAGTATTCCTCAATGCAGATCAAAATAGGAGATTGAAAGTAACTTTCTAAAGATGAAGATCAGCACACTAACCACAAGGAGGGCCTTCCAAGAGCAATGTATCATTAAGCATGAGTGCCTAGACAGGACCTAATTTAAACAGGATAAATGAGCTGGGTTTGCTCTTTAATTGTTTAGAATTCTGCTACTAATTGGGCCTAATGCATAGGACTTGTGGGCTTTCTTATTTTTGCAGGACCTACCTTTGTGTTCCTGAAGTAATATCTTGTTATCCAACAAACTGCACACTTGCTATCCTTAGAAGATCCAATTTTCAAGTATCTGCACATTACACGTCCGACTGAGTATTAGAGGAAAAAGCAGCATTGAGACAGTGCATTAGCACTGCGTGTGACTGAGGTTAGTCAGTTCTTAAAGCTTCTATCAGGATGTCATATCTAAGTAGTTGTGTAGTGAAGTCTCTCATGATAGACAGCAAGCTGTGAAGAATCCTGGTCTCTTCCATCATCCACAACCTAC